TATACAATGTGACAACTTTGGACATCAGTTACTTGTTGATAAGATGTCTCTTCACTAACAAACAATTTGGGAATTAGTTCTTGCACTTTTAGTAAAGTCGAAGTACCTCAAAAGTGTATTTGAGTACAATACTTTAGCATACTTAATTTATTCTTACTACTGGCCGATTCATTCAGCTGTTGCACATCTGTAAACCACCCCAGTGTCATACGCCTTTGTGTCTTCACTCCACAGAGGCCCATGAATGTGCGGTTCTGAGCTACAGATTCACCGGAGAGAAGGAGGTGGATCTAATATCGACCTTTGTACCAGAGATGTTCAGGGGCCAAGGCGTCGCTGCACTGCTGTCAAAGGTAACAATGTGAGGACACACCTCAAAGTCTGAACCAGTCTCATGTCTATGTTATATTTTTTACATTTGATCTGGTTAGTTTTTGTTTCACATTGTGATTTAGGGAGAGCACTAAAGAATGTTGTATGACATATGTACATCCTGTCATCATCACATATGTGGGCTTCGTTTACCTGTGCTTAATATTGATCGGTTTGTGTTGGACGTGCATCTGGAGTATTGTCTGTTGAGCAGGTGGTGGTCTCTGTTTGAATGGAGAAAATTAATGAACTATTTCATTTGGTTCATTATGGTTTTACTATCAGCATCACCAGCTTCAGGCTCAGTGCTCCATGTGAACGTCCTTGTTGTTAAAAGATTATATAGTTGGAGGTGAAGACTACAAGATATCCTTTGAGCTACTCTCGCTTCTTTTCCTTCTTCTATCATTTAATGCCATCTCAACTTCCTGCATTGGTCTGAAAGTCGGCACAAGTGTTTTCATGCTGTAAGCAAACTTAACCATGGTTCAGTCTGATCCGGAGTGAACCATGGTCCTGGCAGAATCTTTCACACCTGTTATTTTGGAGCAGACTAAACTCACAATGTAGGTGTGAAAGCTCCCATAGTCTAAAGCTGCCGTGTTGATACTGTGTTTTTATTAAAGTATTTAACGCTTTATTTACAGGCTGCCATGGACTTTCTAGTTGAAGAAAACCTCAAGGCTCGTGTCTCCTGTTGGTACATAAAGAAATACATTGAGGAGCATCCAGTGCAGCAGTTTAAAGACCTAGTCATCACCTGACTGCTGCTGATTTGTCCACCACTGCTACCTCAAATCAACTATAACCTCATTGTACAACACTACAGAGGCCAAATGGAGGCATTATAATTGTATCAGTATTTGTTTTTCTCTGGAATTGTATGAAATTTTATATGATCAAGATCCCTGTTCGGATCCAGCAAGCTAAGGCACAGAATGATTCACGTTCACAAGGTTTTAGGATGAAGTTGCAGCTTTATAATAATTTTATTTTCATGTGTTTTTGTTAATCTGAAACTATCAAATTGATTCCTCTTTTTAATCATGCAGTCTTAATATATTATTTGCAACATTTGTTAATTCTTCATTGTTGGGAAAAAACAAAGTATCAAGGTATAATGGGTAGATATTGATGATGTTGGGTTATTTTTATAGTAACATTATGTGTTTATTGACAAGACGTGATCTGTCTATCAGCGAGTAAGAGACCATGAACAAGAACTTGTTAAGCAACTTGTTTACCATTGAAATTAAAATGATGATTTTGACAGAATCTTATATTCAATTCTATACTTGACTGGGAGGCAAAGCAGGGATGCATGTGTGATTTGACGGCAGCATTCTCCACCAGCTATGAACGAGATGGGGACGAATGGCTGATACCATAATAAAGAGTGCATTGCAGAAATGCGGCTGAGGAAAAGAAGGCCTTTCAGAGCTGCCACTCAAACAAATACATCAAACTCTGTTTCACTGAATATCGGTGATAATCACTGGTTTTAAATATTTTCAACTGATCAACAGTTCAGCGTCACTCTTGAACTCGCTGGACCTGATTCTGACAACTGAAGCTTGGCCAGTTCAACAATGCTCACAGATCGTACCCGCTCACCAAGGTTACATAGAGCAAGAACAGACGTTATGGGGGAGGAGTGGGGATGAAAGAGGAAACATTCTCATCAGTCAGTGAACCATCAAACCTTAATCAAACTGCTGTTTTAAAGTTGCATAGTGTTGCATTAAGGGCCCCACAGGATCTGTAGGATGTATTAGTTACATTGGGCTTTGACTAATACAGTAAATATGGGGGATGTTACACAAAAAATAATCATACAACAAGCTAAATCCTGAAATGATCATGCATGAAAAAGTTGACGTCAGATAAACAAAGCTAATGACCCCCAACAAGCTGTATAAGCAGAAAAAGAAGAGATCACAACTTATTTAATTTGAGCTAAATGTAAATAAGCATGAAGTACAGCTGTAACTGAAGGGAATGTTAACAGACATTTACAGTGTATGTTTACTTGGTGATGGCAGTTGAGGAACTATAACATCCTCATGTTAAATTTTACAGAAACCACTCACAAGATATTTGACCCAAAACCAGCAAATGTTAACTCCAGACTGTCTCGAGTGGGTGAGTCAGGGGATCATTGAAGTTGTTTTCAGTGAATCGTGATTATTAACTGAATGTCACAACAATGCACCCTGTAGTTGTTGTTAGTCTGAACCAAGGTGGGGGACTAACCAACCAACAGATGGACCGATGGGGCTGTGCTGCTGGTGTGGTTAAAAACAAATGAGGGCTACTGATTAGAGGAACTACGAGATAGCTCTTCAGGCGATTTGGTTGATAACTGAAATGTTCACCAATAGCAAACAGTGAAAGGCCACTAAATGGTTAATAGGGATACTGTAAACCTGTGCCAGCAGTTGCTGCATCCCAAGATTATATCACAACTGGAAGGAACAAGCTGCAAAAATAACACTCCTTTCATAAGAAACTGTAATTTTCTGTCCTAGCTACGACTTCACCATGATCCTCGAATCTCAGATGAAATCCGCACACGCTGGGCGAGAACAGTATATCTTGGCTCCCTGCCACCAAATGAGATTACTTGTGCCGCCACAGCAGCAGAAGTTACTGCACAACCGTGTTGGACCGAAGCGCAGCAGCGTCAGGTCACGTGCCGGGGAGTCGAATGCTGTGACATGAGGCCCGGACGTGACTGAGCTTGAGTTTCAGGATTTAATTGAATTCGACAGATGTTTTCAGCAGCATACTATGCAGTTAGAAGCACTCTCACATTTTATTATGCATCGACAGTCATACCAGAACACTACAGAAATACATTTCTGTGTTGTGCTAGAAATACAAACATGTCCATCATTTCTGCATCATTTTCCTTCCAACATATTCCAGTCTCCATTAAAGACACATCCCTTCAGTCCTATTTTGGCCTGATGCTTTCAGTGTTAGATTTTTCATCCATTACACCAAGAAGAATCCTTAAAAAAACACTGGATGAGTCAGTGGAGCTTTGACCATCAAACACAGCAGCTGCGAGGACACATAAAGAGAAAATTCCTGATGTAAATTTGACTGAAAGGTGAATTACTTCCAAACAATCAGCAACAGAATTTTTAAAATGTGGGTAAAAATGACAAAATGTAACTGTGCATTAGAGTAGCAACGCCAATCATCACAGATCATTGTAATTGAGCACCATCAACAATGTAAAACATTTTCACTCCATGTCTCAAGCATATTTGCAGAATAAGACAAAGAACCATCAACACTCATATTCACACCTTTGGTCAGTTTAGAGTCTCCAATTAACTTAAATCCAGTCTGTATGTCTGAAATGTGGGAGGCAGCAGGAGAAAACCCAAACAAACACAGAAGAGAACATGCAAACATCACACAGACAGACCTACGGACCAGGCTGGAATTTGAACCAGGAACTTCTTGCAGTGATGCAATGGGGCAAACACTGTATATCCGTATAGCTACTGATTAATCGTCATATCTGCATATGAGACGGATCTGTCTCTAAAAACAGTTGTGATTAACAGTGTTGCTCTAAACATACGTAAATAAAGTGTACTTCTTATTGACAAATGCAATCTCTCTTCAGATTAGAGTTTATGGATGGGGCCTTGGACCAAAACATGTAAAATTCCCCCCACCCCAAAAACATACAAACCTTTCCTGTCATGTTAAATGTTTCTGTCATGATTTTTCATTCCTCTGTTGTTGTTTATGGTTCATTGACTCAGTCTTCTATATTAACAGTGACAGTCTGGGGCCCAGTGGCCCTCTGATAGTTCAGGGGCCCCTGACCCTGTAATCCACCAGTAAAGCACAGTAATAGTTCCGCTGATATTATTTTCTTGTCTTGGCTGTTGTTCCTCACAGATTAGATAACAGACCCTCATTCCAAACAGCAACAGATGAGTAAAACTTTGATGTAGCTTATTTAAATTCAATAAAGAGATCTAATTCCTAAATATATATAAAAAAGATCAGAGCTGCAACATGACAACAGTTTAAGGCTCATTTATGCTGCCTTTACTATTGAAAAGCAATGCATCCACTAGAGGGAGATGAGTCTCTGATAACATGTCGGCAGTGGAGGAGGTTGTGATACTGTACCTTGTAAGAAAGACATAAAGGTGGCTGTTTGTTTGTCCTCAAAAACTTTGGCTGTTGTGAAAATGTCTTCCTCATGTCCTATGGTCATCTCGCTTGAAACTGTTGGCTACACTGCCCCCCATGATTTCAGGTGGTATTGCTCCATTTCGTCTGTTTCACACTTAGAGGCTTTCGGGAACAAATATTCACAAAATGCAGAAATACTCATAAAATCAGAGCTCGAAGGCTCTGTCCGTTTCCATGTACGTATATAATTTTGAGCATAAATAAGCCATTAGTGAGATTGATGAACTGTGAGAATAGGCCGTGTTACATTATTTCCAGAAAAAAAGACTCTGGCTCTGGTTTCCCAGTAACATATTTGATGTAAAGCGAGGAACCAAACCAAAATTAAAGATTCTATGTCCAGAACATCATCCCTGAAAACTGTTCCAGTGAGGCGAAGGAACTGAGTTAATCAATTCTCAGCAATATGCCTCTCCTTGCTGCTCCGGTACATTGTCCATTTCCACCACATACGTTGTTCCTGTAGGGGGCTTGAGGCCATTGATTGGCAGTTCTATCGGTGCCTCTGTGTCAGCGGGCACAGCAGTCAGATACATGTCCCACATCTGTTCGGGGAGTTCGAGCTCCATCATCTTCTGCTTGATCATCATGCTCTTCTCGATGTTCCGCCGCTTGTATTTAAACTCTACGATGGTCTTCGTGTACCTGTTCAGTGCCGTCACTGCAGAGCCCATGCAGGTGCCGAAAGAGCCCCACGCTAAGCTGCGAAGAGGTTTGAGAAAAGTGTTAGATTGAAGGGACTCTGATGCAAATATGATTTTCTGCTAACTTTTAGATAATGTTAATTGTCTATACCTTGTTGTGCTATCGTGTATAAAATGAAACTGGAGCCACTTTTCTAAATAAAAATGTTCTTTTCGATACGGTATAAAAGATTTCAGTGATTCTGAAACGACTGGATGTTAACGACGACATGACGGGTTGCAAAAGTGAAGCTAAAGTTTCGTGATCGCTTCTTGATGGCTGGATACAGTCTAGGTCATAAACCCCACCTCCTCCATGTTAGAAGAAAGGACATGAACCAAACAAAAAAATCTACGTAGAAATGACACATAAGAGACGTCATGATTGACAGCTAAGACTGACTCGCGATTGCTCAAGTGCATGTATTGGAGGGACCTTGATACCACGGCTCCACTCCACGATCACTGTTTCATAGACTCTGGCTCCTAATGACCATAGAAGAGCAAGATGGCGGCACCCATATCAGAGATATACTGGGCAGTGGAGGGAAGTGGAGATGCGTCAGCTGTTTTTATTTACAGTCATTGGATAAAACTATTGAAAGTCATTACTTCAGGTGGAATTAGTGAATAAGCAGGTGGTTTTGGACTCTCCCCAAGTCTCTCCTGTATTTTGGGGGGGTGGGGCTAATATAGGTTAGCCGTCTCTCTTTAATTGCTCCAAATGTCAATAACCAAACAGTGAAAACTTAAAGCAACGGGTACAGCTATAACCTCAGCACTCATACATACACAAATTACATACACATAAATATACAGTGCTTTAAACAACATCACCCCTGTCTACTAGTGTTATTATGAACTATGTAGTGCCCGCCTCCCAGATATTGGACCAATGAAATTAAACTACAGCATCAAAATCAGATGGAATCAGAAGCTCTACTTTAAAACATTTTCAGTAGATAGAAAAATAGTGCTTACACATAAGACCAGCTGTAGTCCCAGGTCTTGGGCCTCCAGTCTTCTGGCCCCATAGCGACAGCCAGCTGGAATATAGTGGTAAACATCATGTGGGCCACCATCCCACAAAGGCCTGAGAACGAGAGCAGATCAGTGACTATTCTGCAGGAAAATGTAACTGAAAAGCTAAACCTCATTATTATTTTACTTATTACTTAAAGGTACAGTGTGTAGAATGTAGTGACATCTAGTGGTGGAGTTGCATGTTGCAGTTGAATACCTCTCACCTCACCCCCCACTTCCAAACATGAAAGAGAACCTAATGGTAGCATTCAGTTGTTATTAAAACTCAAAAAGTGTTTAGTTTGTATAGTCTGGACTACTGTAAAAAAGAGGACAAGC